AACATCGAATTCGTCTTGTGAGCTCAGTCGCCCAATCAAAACGACGCCTTTTATTTGGGGACGAAATTACACGGTTCGAGGGGCGCCCGATCTGAAGGTTTGACCGAAAAACATTCTTGTCTTCCAAAATTGGTGGGTCTCAAGATTTTTTTCTGTCAACAATAGGTTTTTGTTCAAAATCGGCGAGTTCATAGACAATTCCTGATTGCCCAATCACTTCCAAATAAATGGGATGATGAAAAAGAAGCACAGCGTAACGTTGTTCGTTTGATTGGACCACCTCAACCGCTCATGTGAGAAGGTGGATTGAAACATCGGGAGCATGCTTTTCCTGTTTCTTTCTCAACTCGTCCTCTTTCAGAGGCTTCATCGAGATTCTGAAAGAACCCTTATTAAAACACATCAATAACGGAATAATCGATGTCCTGATTAGGTGTTTAGGGAAATGCAGATGAGGTAGATGAGGTAGATGAGGCAGATGAGGTAAATGAGAGGCCGAATGATGTATATGGTGACACGGAGATTATATTTGGAATCGCCAGACCTTTTTGTAAATATTGTTTGGTTGTGACGGGGCGCCTTATTTTTTTTAATTTATTTTTTTTTTTAAGAAAAAAGATATTGTGCATCAGCGATTAAATATGTAGTGCGGACAAGATCGGATGTTTGTTTCTCTAGCATTGTTATCGTCGGAGACGACGTCAGGAATGGAAACAGCGTACGTATAACGATTGATTTTTTGATTTTTTATTGATTTTTTATTATCATTATTATAAAACAAGAAGAGAAAGAACTTGCTATAATGACCTGTCAAAGGTATCACTTAGAGAATTTAGAAAAATGAAAGGAGGGTTATATTTTACATGCGAGAGAAAAGTTGTACATAAGAAAAAAAATAATGGAAAATAATAATGGACAGGAAAGTTAAGTGGAGAACGTCAAATTCAAACGCGCCCCAAGTTTGCATGATGAAACACGTAATGTAACCACAGGAAACACGCGTGTCATGATGAGAAAACCCGTTTGATGATGGAAGCTCCACCTCCATCCACAACAGATTTCCAACCCAATGATCAATCATTTCTTTCCGCTTCAACGAGGACGAGCATGAGCATCCTGAAGGGACGACTCGCGCTCGCCCTTGATGACCGGGGGAAGGCCTAAAAAAAAATCGCTGCCTGAAAAAATAAGATAAAAAAAAAAATAAAAAAAATATGTATATATATATATCCATAGAAACTTTATGTGATCCATCTTGGCTCCTCACTCCAAGAATCCGGCCTAGGCGGTCGAGGAGAGAGCGAGATGAGTGATAGAATAAATAAATAAATAGAAGAAAAAACCATATATATATATAAAAGGCATAAGATATTCGCTATAGAAGAAGGATAAAGATATATTTGGTGCAAAAAGAAAATCGAAATCTTGATGCAATTTTTTTCTTTTTGTGTGCGTGCGCGAATCAAGGATCAAATGCGGCTTTGAATTTTGCTCGACACATTGAAAAGAATTGCATGACCAGTGGACTGGAAAGCACGGAAAAATAGATAAACGTAGGATTTTTATTTTCGTGTTTTATGAGAATTTGCAAAAAGGTTTAGCATAGGTGAGATGAAGGTTTTTTTGTGAAAAATGTTTTTATTTTTGATTTTTCTCCAACGTGTGCCTCAAGTCCAAACAAAACTTTTCCCTGCGTTATCGTTGAAAAATCTTGCTGCATATCACCACCGACGAGTTTCAAAAAAAGAAAAGAAAAGAAAAGAAAACTCAATAAACTTCAACAACTCCCTCTCCCGTTATCTCCAAACCGTCCTCTTCGGCTTCCGCTATGTATGCATCCAAGACGTCAAATGCCTCTTTTCCCAGTTTGAGAAATTTGATGTTCTCGTAGAAGTGGATAAAATTCTCGGGCGTGATCTCATCTAGCCAGGCATCGTCATCATGATGATACAACCAGTGTAAGATGATCCCAAAGCAATCCGGGTGAGGTATGGGAACCGTCAGCCGTATTGGAAATTGCGGATGTGAACAGAAATGTGGTGAGGTGGGCGAGGAGGGTGGTGATTGTTGCCGATGTAAATTGCACAAGGATGACGCCGGATTGTTTATGGGGCCAAATAGCTGATTAAAAAATCCCGACTGCGATGCCAACACGAGCGTGTGTGCATAAAAGTTGTGTGATGTGGGCCGCGAAAAATCCATGACCGTTGGTTTGTTGTTTGGTGCGTTGTTAAAGGTGAAGTGATCAAAACTCGGAGAGGTCGGTGATCCTGGCGGTGAAGGCAACAGGGAGGTCTGCTCTATGCTGCGATCACCGAAATATTGGTGGTAATTTAATAATAATTGATTATAACCACACATCATATAATTAACACAGTTGGTCAAGACAGCGGCGTCTAACGCATTTGCGTCTTTGTGACATTTGGTGTGTATCGGCATTAATGACTTTGACGGGATCAGTTGCTGTTGTTGTTGAGCAATGCCTTGAAGTACCGTCAGATTTCGGTTATAACTCTGATGGAAGTATTGATCAAAATACTCGCACCAAAGATTAATTTCATCGCACCTCACTATGTTCAAGAGGTAGTCTGCGGTTTGTCCATTTTCCCAATGCAGTGGTCCTATTTCATCAAGGTTGTTGAGGAAATAGCCGACCGGAATTACTCTCTCTGAAAAAGGATCTTTGTACACTGATGGAGTGTGATCCGTGGGCCGATATACAGGGAGAATGACTTTTTTGCGTTCGGTTAACTGACCCATTTCTTCTCGAACGAGGTTTTGTTACTCTTTGGGAAAAGAAAATTTGGTTGTGGCGATTGTGCGCGGGCGAAAGAGGTTTGTAGACTGAATTAATAACAATATTGGTATCACAGAAATGTTCGTGAATGACTAAAGCGAACAAGCGAAAAGCTGCGAGTGATTATGATAATATTACAAGCGGGAGTTGGCAAAGGGGTGAATGAAGAAAAAAAATGGTGACCGAAATTAAATTATTATTTTTGGTTATATACTTGGAGGAAGAAAAAAAAAACTGTATATTTTTTGATATAAAATTCTTGAAATCAAACCATCATTTATTTTATTTTATGTCGTTTGTTCATTTGTTGTTTTTCTAAAATTCTATGCTTGAGTCTCGGGGGGGGGGGGATGAAATTGCGATGCGAAAAAAATGATGATGGTTTCAGAAAGTGTTAAACCTTTTCTATTTCAAGGTTTTGGCGGCTGCTGAATAAAAATTATGAGAAAACCAAGAAAAAATAAAGGAAAAAAAAAAATTTTTTTTTTTTTGCAAGCAGTCTTCGGTGTTTTGCCTCTCAGATCGCACTGTTTTATTTATACCATTTTTCTGTGATATGATATTGCGAAACATCACCACGATAGCTACCCCTGGTTGCTGCCAACTACGGAGTGATGTTTGAAAAGTCACAAGCATGTTGTGACATGCCCTTATATGTGAATCAAAGGATGGGCCACGCCGGGTGTTACACAAGTCAAAACCAAGAACAGACAATGATTCAAGACGACTACTAAATGTCTTAATCTGGAAAAAAAAATACGAGCAACAAAAAAAAAAAAAAAAAAAGAATAGAAAAAAGCGACGTATGTTGTTGGCTGAATTCGATGCAAGTTTTTTTCTTAACCTCGTTTGGACTTATGATTTTTTTAAACGTATACACAGTCCAAATATACATAACAAGTGATTACTACCAAAACGATATCCGTCCTTTTCCTCCTGTGCACCCGACCTCCGCTTTCTTATTTTTGTGCGGTGCGGATGGGTCGGAGGGAGGGAACGAACGTTCAAAGAATTTTAGGACGCTCGCGATTTTCAAGAGCGTGTATTTTCCTTTGTATTCCCATATGCGAGTCACAAATGATACTTTTCACTGCTTTCAAGTCGATATTAATTTCCAGAGGATCATACGATTCGCGCAAACAAGATCCCCCCATTCACTTGTTAACCAAGTCTCCAACCAAATTCTTAACATCGGAATGGATGAACAAAAAAAAAAACAATAATCATATACATATGTTCCTAACTCCCTGCAACCCATATTTGGAAAACAAAAAAGACCGGGGACCTGTTAAACTTTTGAGTTAAAAAAAGGTAAATGCTATTACCAACCAACAAATTATCAGCCTCCAACCGAAAGTAAATATACTGTAGATGTACAAATGTATGACTGCGCATGAGGCAAAAGAATCGAGACAAGCCACAACGAACATCCCATTCACGCAATTCCGGTGGCCACATGATGTAACACTCACAAATTTTCTCATTTCTCTAACCTAACGAAACTTCCGGATTAAGCCAGGGTGACATGAGTCGACGTACAAAGGACAAGAAAGATAATAATAAATGAATTTCAGAAAAAGTACATGGAAGATAAACAAAAATCGAATGAATGAATGGTTAAATAGGGTACAACATATAATAATGGATCAATGGATAATGTATATATCATGGTGCCAACGAGATCGCTTGACACATACTGTACAGTACATGGTGCTTGTATTTGGTGCATACGTAAAAATTTTTGCCCAAGTATTTATTTATTACTATTGATGATGCCGGTGTCAGAAGAGAGGAAAATGCGGAGGTGCGTAACGTTCGGCGAAGTTGGGGAATGTCAGATACCCATGAGGATTTACACGAAACCTTAAAGAAGTGATGCATGCATGCACTTCAGAAATTGTATAAATTTAGGAATTTTCAGGTGTACCTCAATATATTCAGGGATTGACTTAATAATAAAAAATGCACAATAATTTCCGAATCCAAATGTCGCACCTCTAATCAGCGAGCGTTAATCAATTTTTTTAATTAATCATAATTAGTCGCATTTACGCCCCAATGCTACCTCTCCTTTTTTACGTGACACCGGCTTTCTGATGGTGATCAGGATGGGTGCTCGTTGATCGAGAACGACAATTATATCATTCACCCAGAGACTTCTTTTTAATGAATGTCTCAATATGACACAATACCACGGCAGATGAGCCGTAATAATTTACGGTTTCACGAGCTTTAATGTGTGCTCAGCTTGAAATTCACGATAAAAAAATCACATCAAACAAAACATTTTGCGAAACTATAAACATTGTCAATAATTTGATATAATTACACGCGCATGCATGAAAATTTATTTTGGGACAGACAACTTCCATTGGAATGTGACTTCCGAATTCGGATGAGCGAGTCGCCGAAGTAAAAGGGTTTTTTCGATCCAGAACAAACAAGCGATCACGGCGAGATCTGTTCAAGTGATTTCATCTTACACAGAGGACATCTGTGGGTTTCAAGAATTTCCCAGAGTCATGCCTGGTGTTGATTCGTGGCCGTGGACGGAATAAGATTTGGTGGCTACGACCGACAAACGTATTGGTTCCTCTTTGATGTTTTCCGGATTTGGAAATTTTTCTTTAAAAAAAAAACAAACAACAAAAATAAAAATAAAATAAAAATAAAAATAAACTCGAATTATCATTCGTGCATTGAATCCAAGATGCTTGTCATGTCCGTGGCAAAATTCCGGATTAAGCCTACAGCTCAGGGTAATCTCACAAACAATAAACATATGGAACGCGAAACAAGACATCAGCACCGCCATCTATACAATAAGCACGAGTTACCTGATTTATGTTGGTAAGGTGATTTGGGTTGCGGGAATTTATCCTTTCCTGGCACATAAGAGAATAGGGCATTGCGGTTAGGGAAAAGTGTGAACGATTTGTTTCCGACGTTGAACATCTTTGACAAAAATACTTCATCACACACGGGGTGAACGACATTGGACGTGAGAATCGTACGAAACTAATTTTCATTCTAATGTGTAATGTGGTTTCGTATATAGGGAACAAAGGGTTGATGGCTGGCTGGCTGAACACGTGAAAAATTTGGTCTTCTGTTGAGAATGAGAAAAACTGGATTTGCGTGTTGTCTTTTGGATCTCGGAACATTAAGCGACCAATTAAAAGCCTGTGATTAAATTGCTACACGTGATACTCGAGGAGACACCCATCACCATCCTCGATGCGTTACCATATCTACTTGGAGCGAGGAATTCGGTTTCGTCAATTTTTCGCCGGATTACCAGAATTCTTGACGAAGTCGAAAAAAATATATACTGTATATATTGTATATCAGATTTTGGAGAGTACGTAAGACGGAAATTGGAAATTGGGAGGTAGGACGATTCGCAACCCAAAGTGAGTGAATGCATGATCTTCATTTGTGATGAGACACGGATCGTATCCGAAGCGGCGCAAGCTTCTCTTCATTCAACTGGATCGGCGAAAAGCAAGAATCAAAGGGATACGCGGAATTCGTGGCTGAGAATGTTTGTTCGTGGCGTGCCAGAAATTAATTGGTACTCACCATAACCTAATCACATGTCGATTATCAGGTCAGGATTCAATGAAGAAAATCATGGTATTGTTCTTTTTCTTGATATCATCACCTGGACCATACCTTGACGGACATTTTTAAGGACTGCCTCCGTATCAACTGACAGGAAGATCATGTTAAATATGCATATCATTAACATTAGAAAATTGGATCGTTTAGGTATGGGTAGGAAGATCCGATAGACGCACTCTTCTGGGCATTACCCGCATATAAACCCCATGTTCCAAGATTATGTGCTCAGAGAGACACACGCCAAGTGTTTGCCAAACCTAGTCGCTTCGCCGTGTTTCAGTATCAAATTCCGGTTCACGTCCATCCCATAATTCCTCGGACGATCGACATACGGATGATAATCGGATTTCCATAAGCGTCGATTAACAAAAAAAAAAAATTTTTTTTTTTGCCCTCAAATAATAATCCTAATACTAATGTCAATAATACTGAATGCTAATGATAATAAATAATAATAATAATAATATATAAATAGATACACAAAAGAATCATGGGCATACAGTTTCCCCATAATAAAAATTTATCCGAGGTTCGACGAACGCCCTATTTTCACCAAATACACGTCGCCTACCTGTCATACAGAATACGTAATTGTATATCATATTTATCAAATGTTTGACATCCATATTTCCATTGTTGTCCATTTATAGATGTCAGAATAAGTGTGAAGAGCCGTTGGATGATGTTTGAACATAAACCTAATGAAATAAACCTTTACACATTTCATTAGCCCCGGTCAATACATGAAACCTGCTAACCACCTTACGTAAGTTGATATAACTCGCAACTCGTGACAAGCATCAATGTGTATTATTAACTCCACATTACTTTTTTGGTCCTCGGGGAATTTAATAATCACATTATTGTCATTTGCCTTATAGGAGGGAGGATTCAGGGGTCGCGTAAAATTATTATCATCCACAACACACATCTTTTTCGTGTCAACCACCATCATTTTTGATAACTGTATAGTACATTTCATCTACTTTAATGGTCATATGAATTACAGTTACGGTCACTGTCACCGAAATCATTATTTCCCGTGTACAACCACCCACTTTGTGTTTTGTTTTATTTTTTTTTTCTTTTAAAATATATATATATATAATAAACTTTACAAATTGTGTTCTGAAAGTTGTTAATAAATAACAGTAGGCTTAACTTAATGGTCGGCAGCATACATCGTGTAATGCTGATTAAGAAAATTGGAATACAGTACATAGCGTTGAAAGAGAGGTAAGGTGAACTTAATTATGGTTAAATTAATAAACATCTCGAATCTTGGCAACCTCAATGGCTGAACTTTACCAATGACCTCGCCATTTATGGTTGAATGAACGCACAAGGTAGAATGGTTTTGATGCTATCCGAAAATATTCTCGGAGACGCACAGAGACACACCCGAACGTTCGCCGGAGTCATCTCGTAAAGACATGAAAGACAGTAAGATTGCCCACATATTCTCAATCGCTAATATTGTGCGTTTGGAATAATGATCGATCACATTGGCAAAGGAACAATAATAGATGTACTGTATATTCTTTCTTTCTTCTTTCTTACCTACCTACTTTCTTTTTGTTATCCTTTTGTTAACCATCCTGTGTGACCGAAGATCTTTGTTAAATCTTGCAGTTCCTTAACCTTTTAATTGCGCATGTTATTCTTGGTTCTACCATCATCACCAGGCAACTCGGAATAGTAATTTACACAGCAAAGAAAGAATGGGTTCGTGGAGAAGATTGCAAGAGAGCGCGCGAAAATTTTTCGATTCGATCACGTCCATATACGCGCGCATGTACAGTGTGTATGTATCGTGTTGGCCGCAGAATCAACGTGAAATATTATCATGCAAGATATCTCATTAATTTTTGTCACCTCCATCTTATCACGGTCATTTTCTCTCTCTTGTTTTCCAAAATTGTAAAGTTCCATTGTTATAAACAGATCGAGTGTTGAAGAACATTTGAACATCGGAGGATGCAAACGCATGTGAAGTAATTAATATCGAAGGATCGAAAACAAGTTTCATGGTGTCACCCTGTCACCTCTGGCTTACTAATTTATGGTCCGACGGATCGGTCGTGAAAACTTTTGCATGAATATTTCCTAATTTAAAAATGATATTTAAGAGGAAAAGTGGGCGAAAGCAATCATCATTGTCAACTTAAGGATGGCACAGCTCATTAACAAAGAAGGAAACGCGACACAACATCTTCATACAACAACAAACCGAAAAAATTTAACCCATTGTTCTCAAGATTCTCGAGGCATCAAGTCTTGTCATCCAATTTCTCTCAAGCAAAGCTCGTCACTTACATACGCACGGAACATTTAATGTTTGAACTTTTTTCGGGCATCCGCATACGTAACTGTACATGCATTCCTTTTCTTATTTTATCTCGGAATGCATCATTATATGAATTATGTAATCGTGACAGCTCCAAACATCCATTATTCCTTTATTTGCCATATACTGTAACTCTGAGACTTGGAATTTAAAATTTCCCAAACAATAAACAAAAGGAACCTGCCTCGACCAAGTTGTGTTTCGTAGGGCATGCTTCATAGACCACTTATTAGTCTCACCGCATATAGCTATTGTCTAATTTAAAGAAATCTCCTTTTTTCTTTGTCCTGACGGTTTGTTGCGTAATTACCATAGTCGTTCATTTTCACAATGAAAATCACGGTATTCGTTGATTTCAATAACGAGGAATTTGAGCATAATCGCAACTACAATTTTGGTGAATTTGTTTACCCGGAATATGCAATGCAAGGCGATGCAGGTACTGTATATCGTAGGGAAAATATAGGAGATAGGTAATGATAATTAATTCGAAACTTCTCTCAGGTTGACAAGCGCCATTATCATTCCTCTTCGGTGATAACGACCTTGCATTCCGCACACACGGACTCCTCCCCAGGATAGTGTTTATTTGTTTTGCACAATTCGCCTATGTCAAGTTGCACAACACCTGAATAGAATTAATTTCTATTTTTGAACAGAGTCCGAACAATGATTATCTTGCTAGGTGTGTGGCAAGCACGTACGTACGTGCGAATTTGTTTGATTTTTATTTTTTCAAACAATATGATGTGTCAATGACATGTATTGAAATCGACTGATGCGACGTTTGTTTGACACGGTGTCCGCGAGATGACAACCTTGACATGATGCGATTTCCGAAATCAGTTCTCTGATCGTCGAGTGACGGACGAGATTACATTCCCGACGATCGTGACAGACCATCACAACCAATACACCGTTGATGAGAAATGCCGACAACAGACGTGCACCCGACCAATCGAGAACGCAGTATCCGATAAAAACGACGGCTCGACTCTTCGATAAATGATAGTCTTTCACTAACGCAATTTGAACCTTCATCGTCGATGTTCGCATTAAAGAATGAGAATAATGGGTGAGATATCTGTTACGAAATTTGCTTAACCGGAGGGCAACGGATGCTAATGTGCGCTGGCTACTTAAAAAGGATAACGCGTGGTAAAAATATTTATTAGTTTGGCGTAAATATGTCGAGGATCACGTTTAGTTTACGTACAGTACGTGTAAAGTATGCCCTATCAAAAATTGGAAAAAGGTGACTATCAGAGAGTTGTCACTTTGTGCGATCTGTGTCCTCGGTCGATGCGCGGACAATAATGTCTACGGTATCCGAAAGCTAATCCCAAATTACCTTGTTAAAAAGTTAACGCGGAATAACTTTTCTTTATGCATGCATCTCGGATAAACGAGCAAGTTTTTAATTCAAAATAAGTAGCAAATTAAACACGCCATACCTCTATCTATATTTGTACGTATCATGAGAATGAATGTACTGTATGTATGCGCGTATGTATGATTGTGATGATTCGCGCGAATTGAAATTCTATTACTAAGAGACGCGTTAACGTGACGCATTGAACCCACGACGTACTGTACTTGCGTAAAAGTATACAATTCCTGGGATTACGTAAATAAACCTGCACACCAGAGCGTTCCCGAGTGTATGCTATTTTCGTAATAATAAATACATGTATGTTAATATGAAAAACCATTCTCCTATTGATTGCGCTTATTGATGTGAAGTGTTCATCTCTTTCAGAATCATCTAATTGTGCCAATTTGCCGACTTGAGAGTTCATTTAGCGT